AACCCAGCTGAATCTCTCGTTTGTGAGGTATCCAGGCAACTTAATGTGCTGCACCAAGACGCCCAATGTTTCATTCCGTTGCCTGAAAACGTCACCAGCGAGAGATCCAGCTGGGTTCCAGGTGGGTCTTCCGAAAAACCAAATTAGTTTGCAAATAAGTGTATTCTGCTAATTTCGTGCAATTTGGTGTCAAGTAGAACATAAGGCTGACGGAAACCCGGGGATTGCGCCTACATGATGAGCCCCAAGAAGGGCGAAACCGGTCTTGGGCTGTCGAGGAGTTTACAGCAACCCTATGAGTATTGCGTTACAAATATATATGTATCGCTATATCTCGAATATCGTAGCGACTGAAACATGAAGGGGGGCTAGTGCAGCCCATTCAATGACCCGGAAACACCAAAACCGAGAGATTCAGCTGGGTTCCAGGTGAATCTCTCGAAAAACTAAATTCGTTTGCAAATGAGTGTGTATTCGCTAAGGACGAATTATCAATAGAAAAGAACAACTCCCAAGTTGTGCCACTTTGATTCTGCGCGCTGCTTCGTTTGAACTACAATAAAACAGAACAGATTATATGAGGAAACAACAAAGTGAATAGATTTGGTCTCTTATCGTTCTCTCATCTGGATGCAAATTGGGGTAACGTCGCCGACTGCTCAGCGGTAGCTACGAATGAACGTCCCCTCTCTGAGGCTTTCGGTCCTTCAAGCGGCAGTGCATTTTCTCAAAGCCATGATTGCGGCATATGCCAGTTCGTTTCAAGAAAACCATTTTACAGTCAAGCTCAGTGACCGGTTAGGAAAATTCGCCCGAATGAAACTGAAATCGTGTTAAGGTAATAATGCAATGATGTTCGAACCATTCACGGAAGATTGTCCTGAGAGTTTTCGGTGACTTCCTTCTGAACTACCAGTGAAAGCAGGACGGGCTTCGCTGCGAAGTTATCTATTAGGAAATGCCAACTAATTAGTTACAGACTATTGGACAGGGAAGCAAAACTCCCATTTGCATCTTATTTACAAAACTGAACATCCATCTTCTCCTGAACGCGTCTTCCTGAACTTTTGGCTATTCATTCACTGTTACTCAAATCCAAGCAAATGCTTCAAAGTGGCGCCACAAATTCCGCAAAAGATCTACCTTTTATAAGAGTCGCAAAGCAAATATACAAGAAGACCCCATACTACTCGCATGCCTCCCCATCAGTAGTATCACCGTTACACCAGGGATCCAAGTTGCTGTAAAGTAGTGATCTAAGGCGCCAAACGTTTTGAGCGTTTCCGCTGAGAGATTAGCACGGAGTCCTTGATGTTCAAAAGGACAAGGTGTGATTAACGGGCACTCCCAACGGGGACCAAATTGAAAAAGCCCACCAGAGCCTAGTGCGATGTATTTCAAAACAGTTTATTTGACAAAGTCTCTAACACGACCGGGTAGAAAACTTCTTTATATGGCGCAAAATTCCAAACAGGACCGACTGTATGTGCTTTAGGACAAAAGTTACCGGAGTCATGCGCCACTGAGAACTGGCTATCAACTCCATAAAAAGCCGTAACGTCTCTAGTTACATTATCGGAAAAAATCCGGTTTCAAACTGCATTTTCGCAGTTTATTTCACGTAGCTAAATGTGAACACAAATTGCGAATGCTTCGATCTGGCAGGTGCACATTCTAGTGCCCGTCTTCAATCTATCGCCAGATATATAATATCATGTCGGATCGCTCGCTGTCCAGGCAGAAAAGTCACGAAAATGCTCACAACCTATTTGCTATTGATACTGTTCCCAGTTGAAGCTCCGAAAATTGTTTATCCACGACCCTGTTGTGAGTTATTGTTTGAATGAGGCGTATTTTTTTCTCTCTGATTGGCTGGTTGGTGATTGAATACATTGGTCAAGTTTGTGTGTGACTAAGGAATACAGTATTGTTTTTTTGCCGTTATTAGCTCTTTCTGTTAGGTTTCTATTTGATTTATTACATGCGACCTCTCTCTCACTATCTGAATGTCGTTCAGCTCTGACCTGTAACCAGGTGTTTATTGCGGGGTGACCAAGAGAATGACATTTTAATCAGTTATGACCGCATACTGCTCCACCAGGTCAATGTCATCTAAATCATATTGTGCGATCCTGTACTAAGGCCGTGATCTCAAAGCCTAAATGTACGATCTAGGTGTCCTATCTGACAGGTAACGTGGGGTCTAATTCATCAACGGACGGTCGGTAATAATTGCGGCGAAACCGAATTCTACGAACTTCACCTGCGTTTGTTCAGTAGTCGCAATTGTCAATGAACAATATATTGAATTGGACTTGGGCAGACAGTATAGATAGGTAGACCGTGGTTCTATAGGAAATTAACAGTAAATCATGAGGTGAATTAAAGAAAGGCTCACGGCTAGATTGAACCTTGGGAAGTTAGCAACACAGGATGGCACACAAAGGGCAGTGTGCTATCAGACAAATTAGACGGGAAAATTGTTGTTGAGTTCAAAGTGGGACAAATTTTCAACAAAGAGCCCAGGAATAAATGTAAACAAATCGTCTATAGAAAACGGTTGAGTAGAGTCCAAAAATAGAACGGTTCAGTCTTGAAACTTGAGCAGTCACGGAAGGATGATGAACTAGCCTGAGGAATAGGGAAACAAATAATTACGTCACATAATTGACACATATTACGCTGGCTGATCAGACTACTCTAGAACATTCTTCTGAGATATTTGAAGAGAAAACGCAGAATGACATCGCAAACTGCTAGTACCCACGGGCTCAGGAGTGCATCATTGTGTGAACACGATCAGACTGTGCCTAGGTGGATGTCAACATGTTGGGGCAAGCTTAGATGAGGTTCCGTGGTTGGGCGTAATAGATTGTTCAGGAAAGCACTGATGGAGACTGAGTTCGTCTGGAACGCCCAAACACAACCACTGGACCTCTGAGTCGGAAATGTTCTGGTCCCAGATGGTTCCACCAAAGACTGATTCAGTAGGAAAAAACTGGGAGTTGATCCTTGCAAAGAGGTTGCCTGATTAGAGGGAAATTGTAAGGGTCCAACCATAAACAGACGAGTTGAGTGTTACCACATGATGATCGAACCAGACTAGCTGCCCACAGGAACATACACTCGTGTGTTCACCCAGCTCAGCAGTTGGCCTGCGAACAGATCAATACAAGTCAAGAAGAGCCCACCGGTACGTTGCGATTGCAACTGACAGTGTCAGTCCAACTGGTGATAGAGCGCCCGGAATAGAACTACTCAGCTCAGGGGAACATCAACGGCCAGCATTGAAGACAGGGCTGAAAATATCCCCTTCAGATGCAACAGCATATATATATATACTACTCGTATCAAATACCATATGGAGGAAGTTTGATAGTGTACTATATTTGCAATATCTGTCGAATTCTGAACTCAGTCGCGATTCCAAGGGTTTCCTTTTTTCACTGAGGTATATCACAAAAAAGCCATTCACATAGATTATATATTACTGATGAAGCTCCGAGTAATAGGGTTAAATCCCGCTTTCTGTGCTCTGAAAGTCCTGCTAGTCAGCCTTCATCTCCCATGGTTCACCCGAATGGTCACAGCTTCGCATAGAATAAGTAAACGGCCCTGGAATTCGTTTCATTCTATCACATTTTGAATATTCTGTGGAGGATAAAATTATAAAAGCGAATTCCCCCGACAACACCGTTCGTCCTACTGCCTTTTTCTGGCATCCTTTGCTCAAAATGTCCGCAACTAAGTGTTGACCGCTCCCAAAGGAACTATAGACAATCCAAAAAACAAAAACACAACATGACTGAGTCGAACTAGGAGACACCTTGAAAATGCTGGAAGCCAGTTTTGTTCAAACAGTGATCACACGATGGTAGAATGTGCTTAAATGTCCAAAAGCACCGTCCTGGTTTGGAATCATCAGCAGTGCACATCTCACGAAATTCCGGGGAGTTCCGAAACTGCGATCGTCCGGCTTTACCCTGTTTAACCATGAAACAGTCACATCGCTACTAAACGGTTCGTTGTCGGACGGTTGAATCTCAATCTCACGAAATTCCGGGGAGTTCCGAAACCGCGATCGTCCGGTTTTATCCTGTTTAACCATGGGACAGTCACATCGCTGCTAAACTGTTCGTAGTCGGACGGTTGAATCTCCAAACTCCCAGCAGAGAGGTCATATGTTCGAGACTCCCCGGAATTTTCCAGAGATGTGCACTCTCGGCTTTTTCGCCTAGCTTCACATCATTTACATGATGAAATTCGCAGTGGAAAATTGTAAAGATCTGTATGCATTTCTGTACACCATTTTAATTGTTTTACGTGCCACATCAATGCATCGATTCACTGATTCAAGGGTGATGACTTTCACTAAAAATGCATTCGGATAGCTCAGTGCTTGTGTTCGTTCTGTTGTTGTCTTCCACACTTTTTAGGGAATCTCTTTGATTGCCTGTTCGAAGAACCGGAGGGATATATTCAATCTCCTGGCTATCCAAAGTACGATCTGGATAACACTGTTTTTCGGGGCACGATCAGACTGCGGACGGATAACCGTATACTCCTTGGATTTAAGGCCTTTGACGTGAGTCTGTTGTTTCAAGGTCAGGGATAAGTTCGTTTCTCACTCCTCAGGTTCTGGACTATCAAGTATTTCAACTCCGGTTATCAACGTTCCTGGGTATTTTCGACACCAAATGACGTGAGGTTAACTCTAGGACTCAAGACACCAGATATTTTCTAGGAGCAAGCCACTCAAACTGTTAGATAGCTGCTTATGACAGAAAGTACACAATGGTTAGATGAGGAGGGGTTAAAATTTTCTGATGGAGATTTTATCCTATAAGTGAAGTATGCCCTTGTTGAAAAGTCAGAAGGCACTATCCAGCTGCTCCACCCTTTTTAGAACAGACCAAGGTTCGAACCCCTGACCACATGAATAGCTGTTAAAGCTTATATCGATCAACCAGGAACGATGGTCACTAGTATGGTGAGCTCACCTCACCTGACCGCGCCTCACTTTCTTCGACCACCAGTTGAATGGAAGTCACCTCGAATCTACCCCGAGGTTCGTAAGCTACAGACAACCCAAAAAGGTGAAACAGTCGGGCAGGATCCATTGGTCTTTCAGCAGGATGAGATCTCGATTGTACTGGTTATTTATGAGACTACGAACCATAGGATCGTGATTACAGACCCGCCTCAGAGATTTTTAAGACGCACACTCCTGGCGATCCTCAGAAAAAAGATAATGCATAGCGTGGCTTCAATTTCAAGGTAAATTAACAATCCCACGCTTTGAAATCTCCTCGCAGGAAGTCCAAAATTCCGATCTAAATTTTCCAATAAATAGGGCACGAAGCGTAAAAGAAACTACTCAGAAGGTTGCTGAAAACTCTTCGAAGCATGGAGCAATCTAAACTGATTACTTTTCAGTCAAGTGCTTCGCTTCGCAGTCAATCGCATCTAATGA